ATTACCAAAATGTGAATATTAGCAGGGCTGTGATCAACATTATATGAAATAGTATATGTGAGAGTTCATTATATAGTAAAAAAGTACTATGGAAATGCAAGTGATTAATATTATTAATAAAACTAAAACTTCAAGAGGCAAACACCATCTACAGAGACTGGGATGATTTTAGTATATTTGCTTCAAAGCCTTTTTTTTCTCATCTTTGCTTCTTGGATTTAGTCCACATACCAGTACTGAGTTCTAATGTTAGTTTGAACCCTGGGGTCAAAGAAAACAAATACCATCAAGAAACTTTTAAGGTTAGACAAAAGAAATTTATTTTCTCAACACCTGTTTTCTTTCTCCCAGAAGGCAGAAATTAATATGGATTCTTCACCACTAATCCTGGATTAAATGAGTGGTGGACAATCTCTGACCACTGACATAATTTCATACAACCTGAAGCGTAACTATCTAAGGTACAGTTTTCCAATATTCTTTACTTTGCCACACATAGGGAACACTTTATTTATAAGATGCAGTGGGGTAAAAAGATGACACTGCCATAGGCCCTACTTGGCTGTCCCAAAGGCTGAGGAGATCATAACCTAGTAGGTCGGTTTGGGAGAGGAAGCAATGGATGGAATAAGAGATGTCAAATAGATTTCAGTGTACAAGTCAGTTCTAATGGATTGAGGATGGCTGGAGTCCTGTGCTGAGGACTCAGAAGCCCATATAGGCTTCAAATAGAAATGTCTGCCATGGAAAGTATACGCTATGACAGTAAATTATCTTGCCATTCCTGGATTAGAAATATTAACCTATAAAGCATCCAGAATGTACTAATGGAGACAAATTACCAAACCTATACAAAGATGCTCAACATTACCATAACAGCAGAAATGCACACTAACACTATACCACAATAACATTTACATGCCTGTCAGATAGGCAGAAAGTCACAAGTTTACATAGTATGTTCTGTTGCTGATACTGTCGGGAAGTAGGTCATCTCATACATTGTTGGTGGAACTGCAAATTGCCTGTGGAGAACAACTTAGCAATATTTATCACACCTGCAAATTTATATGCCTTAGACCAAGCATTTCTCCCTATAGCAATTTTTCCTGAAGACAAACTTACATATATGCAAAGTGACGTGGACTTACATAGATACCGCAATTAATTTCAGCATTCTTTGTTCAAACAAAAGACTAAATATAACCTAAATAACCATAGCTATGGGGCAGGTTAATTATGACACATTCACACCCTGGAATACAATGTAGCAGTATGTGTTCTCTTCTGATAGGGGAAGATCTCCAAGAACACTGTTTTTCTAATCAAAATTTTATGTGAAAGTATTAAGATACAACCAAAAGTAGAGAATAGTAAATTGACCAGCCAACCTTCCTTCTTTCTTCCCTCCCTTCCCCCCTTTCTTTTTTTTCTTTCCTTTCCTTTTTCTTTCATTCTTCCTTCCTTTCTCTCTCTCTCTTTCCTTCCTCCCTCCCTCTCTTTTTTTCTTTTTGCTTAAGTATTCTGACATAAATCCACTACATTATGTCATTTTTCATCTCTAGAGATTATGGATACTTGGCTTTAACTATAAGGCCATATCACGCCTGAAAAAATCAACAATTTCTTGGTATCTACGACATACTCTTAAGTTAAAACAAGATGCAGAATGGTGTGTGCAGTATGCTATCATTTATATAAAAAAGGAAAAATCTGAATATGTATTTTTACTTCCTTATAAGCACATAAAATATCTGTGGAAGTGGTTGTGTGAGAGGAGAGGAAGCGAGTGGCTGGAGTCAGGGGCGAAACAGAGACCTTTCACTGTGTACCCTTTGATATATATTGATTTAGACCATGTGAATATATTACCTATTCTGGAAATAAAACAGAATTATACTACAAATTGTGTTTGTTCTTTGCAGTCAATGAAAATTGTTGGACAGATACATTCTTCCACTGGATTTTTCTAATACTCTTTCAATTAGTTTTTTCAAAGCCTTGTAACAGGTGCAGAAAGCCTAATCAAAGCTGTAAACACATCCTTGGAGACAAAGTATCTATACTGGCATAATTGACTGGTTTGATAAATATATAGAGACACTGACCACTTGGTAGATTACCCTATCTAGAGAGAAACACAAACCAGAGCCTCTAACCTAAACTCCAATTCTATCTAAGGTAATGTACTTTGGAAGTCAAAGAAAGCAAAATTGTAATTCTCAAATTATGAGTATTAAAAATATAAGTATTATATAAATGCAGTGAAAATGTAATCTCCAAAGCTATAGTATGGTATAACTTGTCAAAATTCAAATTACATTTGAATCTTTTTTATTGCAGGATTTCTAAACAGAGAACTGCCACTGATTCTGGTTGAGACTGTTCCTCACAATAGGCTTCTTTTCTCTTGGCTTCTAGAGCAAACTATACTGTGAGACCCAACGCAGTTTTTAGAAAGCTCTCAACTGCAGGATAGGGTTGGGTGCTATGAGTTCTAATTCTTTTTATCATTCTTCACTGTATTTATCACATGGTGCTGCTGACAATGCTGAACACTCAGAAACTACCACTGGTGATTGAAAGAAAAAAAAATACACAAACAGTAAAAATGAAAATAAATGGCAATTTCTCAATTAGTTCAGCCATCATGTGCAGGATGGATATGAAAGGGGCAAAGACCAAAGGAGGGAGACCAATTAAAAGCCATTTCAAAAAAAATAACTTGAGGGTACAGACTTTTCGCTAACTATTCACACACTCAAAAATATTTACCTAGTGCTTCCCTGATTAATGAAAACACATTCAATCTGGTACTTGATATATGAGATCTAAAGAGATACCTGTTTATTTCCTTTGAAATACGCTGATTCAAAATGGCCAAAATAAATAAATAAAAATTGAAATAACTCTACTTAAAATTACCTTTATATTAAAGTCTATTATTGTTTGTCAGTTTCATACCTCCCACATTTCTTCTCTTTATATTTGAAAGACTAGCAACTAGAATTTTGTAGCTTAATGTGGGACTGGATAGGGTGGAGTAGAATTGACGTCTACTGTCTATAATAAAATGACTAATAATGTTATTTGAAGATAATGTTCTTATACTTACTGATTTTTTAATTTTTCTGCTGTGCGTATGAATTCTGCTTTCTTAGTCTGACTAGCTTTCTGCTTCCAGTTTTGAAGGTGAAAAGGACGAATACCCCCTGAAGCACCATAGCAGCCATCGTTCTGCACAGAGAACAAAAATTAATTTACCATCAATAATAAGTATTGTAAGAGATAAAGGTGGAAATGTTTTCAGAGATAAAATGTCAATAATGGAGTTTCTTGGAAGACAATTTTGTGGCCAACCTTACCTAATTTTTAAAAATACTTTCTGTGGAACAAGGAATATCTATCTTGAAATGCTAAATTATTGAGCAAGAAATGCTAAGTCTCCACGGATTTTTTACAGAAAGATCTAATTCATTCAGTCAGCTACTCAACAATGATGAGCCAGAAAAAATATGGTCCCGGCCTTCAAGGGAGGGAGGGTAAGAGATTTAAAAAGAGTAAACAAGTAACAACAAAAACCCAACTGCAATAAGCACTATTAAGTAAACATGCTGAGATGGAGATAATGGGGCAAAGGGTTGTTTTTCTTAGAAGGGCTGCAGAAGTTCTATTTGAGGGGATGACATTAATCAGGAAATGTCCTGAAATGTCCTAAAATTAAGTGACATAAGGTTGGAGAATAAGTGAGTCAAGGGAAAGTAATCACTCAATAGCCAAAGGCTGTAGCTAACCAGCAACTGTCATTCTTTAATGAAGTCATTTAAACAATTATCTAGAAGGTCCCCTGAACACTGCATCCCCTTGTGTGTGACCAGTGTCTGACCATCATCAACACCCAATCCAGGGGCCTTTTTTATGGACTGACCACCTATCCCCGGGCTTTTCCTGCTCCCCACTAGCCCACCTTCTTTGTCTGTAAGCAGTGTGAATTTAGAGAACTTTCTAGCCTTGAGACCCTTCCTTCATAAATGTGCCCGTTTCCTGAGTCTGGCAGATGAGTTGTTTCTGTTAACTGGCCTTGGGGCTGGTGAAGCATAAACTTCCTGTTCCAAGACACAGTTCATTTTCTGGCTGCACCTGAGAAGTCTCAATAAACCGTTTTATTTCCAAGATCTCTCAGTCCTCTCTAGAGTTCTTCTCAACATTCAAGGAAGAATGCAGCCATCCAAGCCAAAAGCAGTGGGGAAGAGCATCCCAGGCAGAGGAACCAGAATGTGCAAAAGCAGAGAAGACCCCGGTAGTTCAAGCAGAGAAAAGGCAACTGTCACATGAAGTTAGTAAAGGAGGGGCGCTTGGTAGAAGACAAAAGCAGAGAGGCGTATCATACTGGCATTTTAAGTCACTTAGGGAGTTGGGATTTTACTAGATGTTTTTGAGCAGGGGAATGCCATGACACATTAAATTGTTAAAGAAACTTTTCTATGCTATTTCTTAAAGAATAAATTGATGGGAGGTGTGGGAGGAGGTGAAGCAAGACTGGAAGCAGAAGGACTGATGAAGTAGCTCATGCGGCCATCAGACAAGGCATGATGCTGTCTAGGACTACGGGGGTAATGTGCAGATTAAAAGAAGTAAAGGGACTAATTGCACTTTGGAGGTATAACCAAGAGGTACTATTGACAGACTGATGTCGGGGATGAGGGAAAAGGAAAACTAGGCTTTGCATTTCTAGGAGCAAGCAAGAATATAGTGAATTTAGGAAGTACTTTTCAAATGGATATCTAATTCACATACTACATTTTGTTTATCCATTCATCAGTTGATGGACAATTGGTTTATTTCCACTATCGGCCAATATGAATAATGCCAGTATGAGCATTTGTGTGCAAGTTTTGGTGTGAATATGTGTTTTCAATTGTCCTTGTACACCTGGTGGGGGAATTTCTGGATCACAAGGCGACCACAACTTCACTGGCTTAAATGACATAAATTTATTCTATGTTTTTTCCCTACAATTAAGGTATTGATTTGTCCCAGACGTGTACCAGAAATAGGGCTCTGTCATCTGTCTTGTGACCTAGTCTAGTGAGCCTTGCTCTGATGGCCTAAATTTTAAAGCCCTTGGCTGCCTGTAAGAGTCCTTTAGTAGTTTTGTGTTCCTTCTGGAGGCTTGAGAGGAGAATCTACTTCCTTACTTTTCTCAGTTTTTAGAAGTCACCTTCATTCCTTGGCTTATGGGCCTTTCCTCACATCACTTGATCCCCCTGGCTTCCACCGTCACATCTCTTACCTACTGTTGGCTCTGATCTTTCTGCTGTCCTCTTAGAATGACCTTTGTGACTACAGTGGACCCACCCAGATAATCCAGGATAATCTCCCCATCTCAAGATGCTTAATTAAATCACACCTACAAAGTCCCTTATACCAAGTAAGGTCACAGAGTCAAAGGTACTGGGGATCAGAATGTGAATATCTTTGGGGCCATCATTCAACCTACCACATCTGGACAGAGATACAACCTGATGCAGGTGTATGATCTAGAGGAAATCCATTTTGAGAAATCATTTAGAGTCAGCGAAGGAATGTAGTTATTACTAAAGGACGCTTGCAGGCAGCCAAGGGCCTTAAAATGTAGGCCATCAGAGTGAGGCTCACTAGACTAGGTCACAAGACAGGTGACAGAGCCCTATTCCTGGTACAAATCTAGGACATGCATTACTTGGAGATATTTCAAGAAAGTCATAATTCAACAATTAAAATGATCAACAGGGAAATGGCATTTGAGAGGAAGATAAAGAGATTTGCGGACTTCAGTCTTAGAAGGTAATGGTGAGGGTGCTTATGATCAAATATACAAATATTAAAAAACAGATGGGGTACACTATTACTTTTCATAATGGGTTAAGAAATGTGTGGGATCCCACGCTCTAAGGAGAACTGTAGAATAAAACAATATAAAATGCCTCCAAAATAACTTAAGGGAATTGTATGGACTAAATTATGTCCTCCAAAAATTCACATGTTGAAGCCCCAGCTCCCTTTGGTGATCGGGCCTTTCAGGAGGTAATTAAGGTTCAATGAAGTCAGAAGTCATAAGGGTGAGTTTCTAATCCAATAGAACCCATCCTCAGAAGAGGAAGACACCAGAGTTTTCACTCGCTCGCTCGCTCACTCGCTCTCTCTGCCTGTGTGCAGAGAAAAGGCTATGAGAGCCCGTAGGAAGGTGGCTTCTACAAGCTAGGAAGAGAGTTCACAGCGGACACCAACCCTGATGGCACTGATCTTGATCTTCCAGTTCCAGAACTGTGAAAAAATAGATTGCTGCTGTTTAAGCTCCCAATCTGTTCTATTTTGTTATGGAAGCCCTAACAGACTAATACAGGAATTTCAGATATTTTGGTGGACATCTTTCATATCATTTATTTCTTCTCAAGAAAACATTAGTTTCACTGTCAGAGTCAGTAGGAACATTCATTCATTTAATCCTACGACAAATACTCAAGTGCAATGTTAGGCCACAGAATTTGAGTGTATAGGCACGTTAAGTGGTATGCTGACCAAAATACAGAAGAGATAGATAACACAGTTAAATGCCTCAAAAGCCTCACAATATGGTACAGCTCTTTTCCAATTATTCTTTTAAAGCCCAAACACCCTTGAGGAATTCAGCCCCATTACTGCTATGATTATTAACTGTGAGGCTCCGCCTTCCCTGCAGTGGCGAGAAAGCATGCGGCGGGGTGTTTCAGTATCAGCGCTAACCACTAACATTTTGGACCAGATAACGTTTGTTGGGGGAGCTGTCCTTTGGCCCCTACCCACTAGATGCTAGGAGCGCACACAATCCTCCCCTGCGTCAGGACAACCAAAAATGTCTCCAGACATGCTAAATGTTGGGAACAGAGAAAATAGTTGAAAGAGCTCCACAGGTGATTCTGATCTAACCCCTGGAAAGGCAAATTTCTGAGAATCACTGTAGCGGAGTGTTAGGCAACTTGTGAAAATGCAAGTCAGGAGGTAAAACATAGTTATAAGAATTTAGAGAAGAAATCACTTTGAACTAGAGTAAGCCAGAGAGGTTTCATGCAGAAAGCCAGCAAGATGGCTGATACATCATTAATGTACTAATACATTCATACCTCAAGATGGAGCATACATTTAAAATATTTTAAAATTATAAACAAATACTTTATACATTATACTTTTTAATATATTTTTCCTGAGACATGTAGGCCAGAGTTAGAATAATAAAGAGAATTATAGAGGATGTGAGAAAATTTGCCTGAGGTGAAATTTCTGAACTTATACAAGTAAGGACACAAAACCACTATATTTCCTTAAATGAAGAAAAAGATGGAACCTGTCCTCAGCTCACAACAGCCTTGCTTCAGGTTTGGACTGATCTACAAATATTTAGTGAATGCCTAGTATGTTCCACAACGAAAGAGACACAGTTCTTACAGCTGCAATTACAATGGAGAACTAAACTTCCAAAAGTTTCTGCCCTTCTAGAGCTTACATTCCCATGGAGGTGACGGTGGGGGGTGGAGAAAGACAATTAAAAAAATACATAGAAAATATGTAATACATCAGATGGTTTTAAGTGCTATGGAGAAAAATAAAACCAGAAAAGGGGACACGGTGTGCTGGGTAAGTGGATTCAGTTTGGAGAGGTTATGAAAGATCACTGAGCTGAAGGCATTTGAACATTTACCTGAAGCAGGTGACAGTGCTGGCCATGGGACCATCAGAGAAGGGCATTCCGAGCAGAGGGAATAGCAATTACAAAGCTACTCAAGTAGAATACACAGCAATTGTCCATGCTTTGGGTGCAGGCTTGAGAGAATGAGAGGACTCCGAGTCTTTGGCTTAAGCAACTGGACCAACAATTCTCCTTGAGAATCCTACGGTCCTCACTGCAGAGAACGGAGTCCTAAGTGGATCTTTGGAAACACATCTGCCTCGGACCACCCCATATTTATTTCTTTTTGTGTTCCCAGCGTAGTTACAATAATAGAGCAGCCACCAATTACTGGGCATCGAATCTCTCTCCAACCAAGCACTATGCCAGAGGCTTCCCAGACACAGAATCTACCGCTGGAGAAGGTGCACGTTACCAGTTCCAATTGTTAGAGAAGAAACCGAGTCGCAAAGAGGCTATGTTCCTATCGCACGGAAAGGTGGCGGTAGAGCCAGGGTTTCCACCCCGCTCTTCTCGACTCCGAAACCACATGGAGCTGGCTCTGTAAAAGCAGTTAAACGTCTGTACAGGCCAACAAAGCTCAACACACCCGGCGTGTGCCAGGCCTGGAGCACAGGGAGGCAAGCCCCGCGTCTCCAGCCTCTGGGACTGCACGGCAGAGGACACCTGTTCAGCAAGGCCCGGGAACCCGGTCCCGCCTCCGGAGCCTGCAGCTCCCTCGGGCCCATGACCGCCACCCGCGAGGCTCCGGGGCCTCCTCCATTTACCGGTTGCAGCACCGGCGCTGCTCCCACGCTGGTCCCGGTGGCCGCGCCCGCCCCCGCCACAGCCCCGGCTACTGCGGTGGCAGCCGCCGCCACCACGACCGTCGTCAGGGCGGCCATCTTTCCCCTCCGAGCCGCCCGGGCTGCAGCTGCCACCCAGGCCTGGGGTTTCGGGCCGCAGAGGCTCTGGGAACGGTTCCCGAAGCGGCTGGGCTCGGCGGGGCTGCAGCGCACGGCCGGGATGCGAGGCGGGGCCGGAGCGTGGGGCGGGGCCTAGGCTCTAGGCAGGACGGAGGGGCGGGGCCAAGGGGAGGGGTCAGGCTGGGCGAGGCCCGTGGGCGGGGCTGAAAGCGGGGCAGGGCGGGGGTGCGAGGTGGGCAGCGGGCTTGGGCTCCACTCTGCCGAGAGGCACCGAGCCTTTATGTAACCTTTTTCCGTGCACTTATCTACTATCACTGGGCAAAATCTTTCTACCCGCCTCTCCCACCTCTCTTCCCCTATCCGCCAAGAAAATGAATTGTCTTACATTGTCATACTTTTTTATTCATGACAAATATAGATATATCTATATCTACATCTATCTAGGGATATAGACATTTTACATAATGGAACTAAGTGCTGGTGAAACAGGGTATAAATGAAAAAGCATTTATTGATGGTCTTGACCAATAAAGTACAGTTCACATTTTCAAAGACGTGCAACAGGACACGCCCCGCACTATCAGACACCAAGGGCAGGAACGCCACATTGCACTCCTAGGACCTGGGCTCTGAGGAGAGAGATTCTAAAGATACTGTGTTGGGAATCTGGAACAAAGCCGTAGATGACTCCTCCAGTTTAGGCACAGGCAGCCAGTGACAATTCGTTTGGTTTCTAGATGGACTGCCTTTTCCTCTAAAGGAACCAATTCATTCAATCAATATTGAGTTCTTACTGGATGCCAGGCACTGTTCTAAGCCTTTAGAGTTCACTGTTGAGTTAGACACACTCACAGGGTTCCTTCTTTCATAACTGTTAGTAAGGAATTTAAACAAGTAAAAAATGTACTTACTTTGTGCCAGCACTGTTCTAAATAACTATTGAAGTAGGCACTATTATCATCCCTAAGATGAAGTAACACCAAGCCACACAGGTAGGGGCTAGGATACTAACCTGGGCAGCCTGGCCCCGGAGACCATCCTGGTAGAGATGTTGAACTGGAGCCCAGGAGAGAGACTGGAGCTAAAGATGTAAATCTGGTGTTCATCTGCATGTAGAAAATATTTAAAATAAGACTGAGCAAGCTCCCTCGGGAGAGTATCAACTGAAGTCTGAGGACAGAGTCCCAGGGCTCTTTAACATCGTGATCACAGACAGGAGCGGAAGCGGGGAGACTCAGGAGATGCCGTGAGAAGGGAGGTGTAGCCCCAGGCCGAAGAGGGTTTCAGCAGTGGGAGAGGTCACTCTGGATTTGGTGAGACCGAAAAATGACAACAGAATGTTGGGGCTAAAAAGGGGCTTGGACCAAGCTTTATTCTTTCGGTGGCAGGTCAAGAGCTAGAATCCCATCTGCACCCGGCAGTGTGCAGGCAGCAAGTCCCTCTCAGGCGCTGCCTCCTCTCCAGGCTCTGCCTTCGCCTCCAGCCTCTGCTGCTGCTCTTGCTCGCCTCTGCTCTTAGCACAGTGGGAGTAACACAGGGGATAACGGCTTATCGCCAGTGGGGGTGCAAGCATGTGTCTGCTTGGTAAGCTAAGTATTACATCATCTCCCATACACAGTGGGCCAGTAGGTCAGGATCAGGTGAGGATCCTTGCCATAGAAACTTATATTTTCCCTACAGGAGGAAAACCGGAAGTCTGTTCCGGAGAAAGTGTTTCAAGGAGAAAATGATCAACTGTGTTGTCTGCTTCCCAGAGGCTGAGTGAGATGCAACAGAGAACGGTGGCTGGATTTGTCAGTAGGGCCCATGGGCCACCCCGACCAGGGCAGAGTCGGTGGGGTGGTGAGTACCAAAGTCTGGCTGAGAGGCCTGATGAGATGATGATGGTGAGGAGTAGAGTGGCGCCTTCAGACCATTATTGAGATGATTTTGTAATGCAGGTTATCAGAGAAATTACATGGTGGATAAAAGAAGACATGTTTTCTTTCTTGTTGTTTTGTTTCAAGGTGGAGACTAGTGGAGGGCGAGCCCTGGGTCTCAGGACACAAGGGGAAAAACTTCTGTCTCTGGTGGGGGCACGGGCTCTTCCCGCCTGGGGGGCTGCAGCACGAGGTGGACGGTAGGTTTGCAGAGAGGATGGCGGCTCACCTTTCCTCAGGAAGTCAGAGGGAGTAGGTAGCTTGGGGTGCTTTGAGAAGGCAAAACCTCTCTAGTTTATGTACTTCTTTCATCCCAGATGAGGTCCGTTACTACAGCACTGTCTGAGCTCCTGTATCTGTTGCTCTAGAATAATCCTGCCGCCTCGGAAAAGCAGTCAGTCAACAACTTGAACTGAGTGGTCTCTGCAAGTGGCAACACCGGACTGGATACTAAAAAAGGAATATAGGCACAAGTAAGTTGTGTGCTATGTTTCAGATTTCTAATGATTTACTAGGATGAAAACTCCAAAAAGGGATCAAGAAACTCATAAACAGAACACAGAGCAGGCATTTGCAAAGTGTGGATTAGGCAGCTGTGTGGGTCCTTACTTCTAGGTCCTTTTACTGGTCAGAGCAACAGAATATGTTTTTATATATAGTTTCATTTCTTACGTTTTGTACCAATTCCAATTTAACTTCAGAGGTTTGTCTTTTCTTAACTTCTACTATGTTTGCATGTCTTTTTCTCTTACACTGAAAATTTTGGTTCCTTAGAATATCAACATGTTACTTATTTGCTCTTCCTTGACATTCATGTGCTTTCAAATCACAATTCCCTAATAGTACCACTAACAGTAAACTGACTCAGTGATGTTCAAGATCATTTCACAGTTCTTTTTGTCCTTAGAATATGTCCTGCACAGGATAGCCAGTCAGAGTATTGTGTTCAAAAGTTCTGAAATCTGCTTTTTCTCTCTGTGGTTATGGAATCAGTTTGGATATAGTTGGGTTCTTTTGATGGCATTTGTGTTCAACTGCAATGTTTCATTTTCTTGGTTTACTCTTTAAAAAAATATGTGGAATGTGTTAACATATATAAAGTCAAATGATATGACAAAGTATATTTAAAGAAATCTTGCTCCTAACACATCCTCTCTATGCCATTTCAATTGATTCTCTATATGTAATCATTTTTATTCATTTCTGGCTTGTCTTTTCTGTTTATTTTTGTAGAAGTGAATGTGTGTGTATATATATGTGTGTGTATATATATATGTTTATACACACACATACAAATGCATTCTTATATATATGATATGTGTAAGTATATATATATGTCTATATATATGTATTCTTATTTTTCCTTCTTTCTTACAAAAGCATGTAGCATATATATACACACACACATTCACTTTTAGAAAAATAAACAGAAAAGACAAGTCAGAAATGAATAAAAATCTTCCTCATTTAAAAAAAATTGTTGTATAATAATCCATTGTTACATTCCACCAGTCATCTACTGATAGATGTTTGGGTTATTTCCAATCTTTTGCTGTTACAAGTAATGAATCATTAGTATTTCATATATGGGGAAGTGTATCTTCAGTGGAACTGTTGAGTCAAGGGATAAATGCAAACACTACATAGTTAGATATTGCTACATTCCTCTCCCAAGGAACTGAACCATTCATTTTGCAGTTGCACTAGCAATGAGTAAGGGATGACTATTTTTTTATTACTTGCCATCAATATTTCTCCAAGTTTTGGATATTTTCCACAATCTGAATGGATGAAAAAATGGTATATCCCAGTAATTTTAATATGCCTTTTTCTTAGTATGAGTGAAGGTCAGTCAGCCTTTTCTTCATAAGTTGAATGACTTCTGCTTTCTTATTCTTTGAACTTCGTTCCCATTTTTTCTCCATTGGTATTCAGTCTCTCTCTTTCCAGTTTATTTTATTTTCTAATAAATACTTCTAATTATCTTTCATTTGAATGACCTTATGTAAAACATAAGTTTATAATTTAGAAGTTCTAAGCCCCCAAAGGAGATATTATAATACTCTTATATAAATGGTTACAGAAAGTGAGATTTTTTAAGAAATGTCTTCCATGTCCACATCCTGTTGTAATTTCCGTACCATTTTTTCTTCCATCTGCTTTCCTTTGCCTGCAGGATGAGCCTGGATGAGGTGAATGTTTTGCTTGACTTCTTTGATGTCCTGAACTTTTTGTAGTTCTTTATTTTTTTCAATCTGTTCATTATAAATTTAGCTTGGTGTTTCTGTCTGATCTCTTCCACTCTCTTCATTGCATCAACAGTTTTATTCCAAGTTCTCACTGGTATTTGACAGGTTTGTTTCTGTTTTTCAAATTCAATGAACCGTCCACTGTAAGCTCTTTACCAGCTGCTTTACGGAATGCTTTAGTACACATGACTTCATGACGCTTGTGCTTCTTTGTTAAGTTTTATGATATTTGGATTTACAGAATCTGCGCACCTTGCAATCGCTGCAGAAACATCATGCCTTGGCTGGGGTAGATGGGCCCAGATCAGAAATAACACTTCTCTATAAGCAAGCTGAAATCTCTTGTGTACTCACTGGCCAAACACTGAGCTTTAGAGCCAGTTTTTAAGAGCTCTTTATCAATTAGGTGATTGTAATATAATTTTGTGATATAAATATGCTGACAATGGGTGGAATGGTTCCAGGGAGTTAAGCAAAATCAAGTATTCTTATGGCTGGGTACTGGATTTATTCTCTCAAATAATTTAGTCTCTTAAATTTATTATATTTTTATTTTTTAAATTAAAGTCTCATTGATATACAATCTTATGATGGTTTCACATAAACAACACAGTGGTTTCAACAGTCACCCATATTACCAAGTCCTCAGCCCCTCTATTGCAGTCACTGTCTATCAGTGCAGTAAGATGTTATAGAGCCATTAATGGTCTTCTTGCTGTACTGCCTTCTGCATGACCTACCTTTATTGCGATTGCAAATTATAGTGCCCCTTAATCCCCTTTTTCCTCCCCAACCACCTTCCCCAAACCTT